GCAAAAGTGGGACTGCTGAGGATGGAACACAGTTGGAAAAAGAAGAGCAAAAAGCCAAGTCAATGTATGAAAGGTCTATGTATGATTACGTGGACTGTGAGGAGCTTTTGGAAGGGATTGTATACCCAAAGAGGGTGAATCGAAGAGGTGGTATCAACAATTGGTGTACAAGTACGCGAGCTCTGGTGTTGGGCCACTATACTCATGGCGGAGTGTGTGGTATTACAAAGGAGACTCATCGAAGACCATGGCTATGTCGTTATTTGGCATCATTCGTGAGGCACCACAATCCTGAAGCCAAATTTTCTGCTCTTCAAATCTCGTGCAATGCTCCGGTGTCATTGCATAGGGATAGTCACAATGGAAAAAATTGCTGCAATTATGTGTGTGGTTTTGGTGACTATAAAGATGGTCAGCTGTGGGTTGAGGATGAAAAGGTTTTAGAGGAAGGAGCTGAAGTGGTGGAGCAATCTTATGGGAAGAAAGTCCTACCTGGAAAATTGGTGGATATCCACTGGAACTTCATGTCGTTCTTTCCGAGGAAGCTGCATGGCCCTATGCCTTGGAAAGGGAACAGGGTATCCTTGACAGGGTGCACACCTGTTTTTATGGAGCGTTTGAGCTACAGGGATAGGTGCTATCTTCTCCAATGCAAGTTTCCTCTTCCGGAACCACGAGCTGAAGAAGGTGAAAAAAGGAAGTGGTTAAAAATGACGTTGAAAGAGACCTCGCTGGACGACCTTGCAGAGGAAGTCGACTACGCTGTGTTCGAAGCGCATCAATGGGCTCTAGAGGAGCATTTGAGTATTCGACGCCTAATTGCTGAACAGGAATGTTGCATCTTGGACGAGTTCCATGGATCGGCCAATGAGTCGAGTGAAGAAAAAGGATCAGAGACTAGAGAATGGCTGGTTAAAGCAAAAAGGGCTGAGGAACAGCTATCGAAGTTTTTGGCCAAAGCAGCTCAAGTTCAGCAAATGGTACAAGAAAATACCGCGCTTGAGGCAGCGGAGGAGGTTGAGTTCCTGCAAACAAAAACAATTCCTACACAAGAAGCCATGCAAGAGCTGGAAAAGTGGAGGGAATCATTGTCGGACGAGGTGACGTCTTTGGTGAAAGAGTTGGAGGTGGTGGAACCAACAACTCAAGAAAAGCTGGACAAATTGGCGGAAGAGCCTAATGCACCGGTGATTGAGTACGTTCCCAGTCTGGTGGTGTTTACCCGGAAGCAAGGGACAGGGAGGCGACGTGCCCGTATCTGTGCATGTGGAAACTTCATTTCGTCAACGGCAGCTACAGAATATGAAGGGCCGAGGTCACTCAGTCGTCACTCGCTGTACGCTCCAGGTTTAGATTCAACTACATTCAGGTGTCAAGTGAGGCACGCAGCATATATGGTGTGGATCATCGCTGGCTTAGACATTTCCAAAGCTTTTCTGACGGCGCCGATGAATAGGGCGCAAAGAGAAGGGCGTTTGGTGGTGGTGCAGCCCCCAAGGGCGGCGGTGAAATTGGGTCTTTGCACAAAAGAGGAGCGGTGGATTGTGAGGAAGGCCTTGTACGGTTTGGCCGAAAGTCCTGCAGCATGGGTGGAGTGGCGAGACCAACGTCTTCAAGGGATGTCTTGGGTGTCAAAGGATGGACAAGCAATGAGCTTTCAGAGGTCCAATGCAGACCCAAGCCTGTTCCTTATTATGGCACAAGAGAAGTTGGAAGGTGCAAGCAAGTTGGTAGGGACAATGGGTCTTTACGTGGATGATTTTTTGATGGCTGGGACTATGACAGTGCTCCGGGAGGCCTTGGAACAGATTAGGAAGGAGTGGAAAACTTCTGAACCCGAGTTCTGTGGTCCAGGCTGCGGTGATGGATTCCTGAAGTTTTTGGGTGTCCAAATCTGGTATCGAAATGGCAGCTTCTTTCTCAACCAGGAGGACTTTGTGAGAGATTTGCTGAACCGACGAGGGTATCAGATCGATGAAACTGGAAAAGGAAGTAACCTGCCAATGGTGAAAGAAACTCCAGGTGAAGAAGAGGAGGTGGATATTCCTTCCTTGCGAGCGGCGCAAGGTGCCGTAGGGGAGTTCCTCTGGGTGGCAATCAAAACTCGACCTGATTTGGCGTTCTGCACGAGCCAGTTGTCTTTGTGGACATCCCGAAGGCCGCGATTTGTGGTTAAAAAGGCTGAGGAAGTTTTCCGATACCTTGCTGCGACTCCAACGTTAGGCTTGACGTTCGGAGCAATCGCAACATGCGAAAAAGAAAGAAATGAGGTGTTGCGCTATGGACGAGGCGTTAAAGTGGTGGAGTCCTACGTGGATGCCAGCTTTGCAGCAGGTGAAAACGAAAAGAGCCACTCAGGAGCGGTGGTGGTGTGGGGTGACTGTCCAGTAATGTGGGCAACACAAAGACAATCAACGGTGGCTTTAAGTACAGCTGAAGCTGAATCACATGCGTCCATAGAGGGAGCAACGATGATTCAGTCGTGCACCCCTATAATTGCCGCTTTGGTTGGAACAGGTGAAGAATCGCTGCAAAAAGTGCTGTATACAGATTCGGTTTCAACGTGCTCGATCATTCAATATCCTGCTGGAAGCTGGAGGACAAGACACCTGAGAATTCGAGCAGCCGGTGTCAGGTCTCTGGTGGACCGTGGTTATATGGTGATAGCGCATCTTCGCGGTGAGTATATGATCGCTGACCTGTTGACTAAGTTGATGAGTGGACAGGTGTACGCAAAGCAAAAGGCACTTTGGGGTCTCCGACTGTTAGTACAAGGGACTGACTTGAAAAAAGCCTGCAATGGCGGTCATGATGGTGGCTGCATCTCTGCAAGGGATGGCAACTGGTGGCGAAGAAGTGTCAACTGCTGGATTCTTTTGCTCAGAAGAAGGGGTGTGCAAGGTTGCCAACACGTCTGCGGTGATGGTTCTGGCTCAAGGTATTGAAATGGTTGTCAACAATTCAGACCTTGTTGCATAATTGGTGGCAGCAATTATACTCTGGGAACTGGCATGGTGCCTCTTTCGACGGCTGTATAAATGGCTGTGGGTCAAGAAAGCGGTGGTTATTCCTGCGAGTGCCACTTTGTATACAACAGTGGGTGGGAACTGTATGCACGCAAGCAGTGATTGTGATGTTCTGCGATATTCACAGCTCAGAGCTAAGACGCTTTGTAAGCATTGCCTCAAGGATGGCTGGGTGGTGAATGCTGAGTTCCTTGGTGAGGAACGAGCCGCTGGAACGTGAATTTTCCAAGTGCGAGGTGAAGAAATCCTCAAAGGTAAAGGATTCAGCCAATGAGCTGAAGGTTCGTCCTGGAAGACGTTAAACCACAATGTGCATTTCAAGCAGCTGGCTGCTGCCTAAATGGCGGTGTTTGGCCAAAGATCTGCACCTCCAATGTGTCCCAGGAAATCCTAGGACAGGGGGAGTGCGGAGCTGCAATTGGTATTGTAGAAAAGAGTTGGTATTGGAGGCTCAAGGGTCAATGAACCCGATAATCGTTGGCTCAAGCCATGACCAAAGCGGTCGAAGATTTCGTAAAAAGTGTGCCCTTGGTTTGGGGTCTTGCTGTTCGGTTGTTGGTTGTTCCAGGGGTATTAAGGGCTTCTGTTGGGGTTGACTGTTTTGTTCCCTGTCCTCCTTCGGTTGCCCCCCGTATAGGGTTTAGGGCGATGATGGCACAATTAGAGCAGAAGCGACTTTGTACCAAGAACTGCGATTCATTCTCTTCGCTTTCAGGCGCCATGAGAAAGAGCGCACAAGCAAGTCAATGCCATCCAGCAAGGCTACACTCATAAAATACAAGCTAGATCTCTGAGGTCCTTAATTATCAATGGTTATCAATGCGCGGCAAAACGAACCTCCCAAAGTCCACACAGCTCGTCCTCTGTAGTTTTCCTTCCCGCTCGTCACCTTATAGACTTGTAGGCATCTTAAGTAGATAGAATCCCATAGATAGAATAGGAATCTGTTTTTTTTATTCTATCGGCTCGGCCTCCGAGGCATAGCTGGAATCCGCAAAACAGTTGCAGAACGCGCCAAACCATCTTAAGTCTCTTCCCTCCGTCCTTCTGCAATGGACGGTTTTGCCCTCCAACTCCTTGCAACTCCACCTTCATCTTTCACAATCCAAAACCTCTTGGAAAGTCTTTCCAACCGGAGCATTTGTTAGGCATAAAATCGATGATTTTGGGGCTTCAAAACGGAACCGACCCCGGAGAGAGAGAGAGAGAGAGAGTACATTTTTTGGGGCTTGGGCCTGGAAATTGAATCAATAGCCTAAGCCACCCACCCACCCCGGCAGCAGCACACCAGCGCCAGCACGAACCGGCCCAAGGGCAGAAAAACTGACGAGGAGGCCTCGTAAGCCACAAAAAGCTGCATCAAACCAGTTGGGTTCTTAAAGGCACACACTCAAGCAGCCCAGAAAAAGCTCAAGTGTGCCCCCTTTTCGCCTTTTTTCCCCATGGTTCGCATGCGCTCGCTTGCTGTCCTTGCTCTCCTACGGGCGGAAGCCTTGATTGCGGGACCCTCGGCCGTTGTGCAAAAACTCCGAAACGAGAATTGTCAGTTTTTTTTAGAGTGGCATGTACACACGCCCCCCCATTGTCGCCCCCCGAGCCCCCTTCTCAACCATGCTCTATTTACTGCCGCCCCTTTGCTATTTTGCTATTTCTCAGCACAACCCCGAGAAGCACCAGAGATGGAATAGGTATTTAAGGCTTGGTCAAATCCAGGGTCAAGGTGGAAGACCTAGAAATAACATGACCTACGTGTGGTTCTGGTAGCTGTGGGTCCGTAAGTGCGGATCTTCGTTTATCATTAAAGTCACCCTCTCCTCCCCCTCACCGAAAAGGCATCAAAGGCTATGGGGTCGGTAATTCACCCTTCGAGTAGGGTTTAGGGTTTAGGGTTTGGGGTTTAGGGTTTAGGGTTTAGGGTTTAGGCTAGGGTTTAGGGTATGTTCCAAACCTGACCTCCGTTCGCCCTGGGCCCAGGCTCCACGGGACGTGGCCGGGGATCGTTGGGGCTGGCTGCCGCTTACGCAGCAGGTGCTGCCAACGCCTTCCTTCAGCGGTACCATGCGGACCGGTGTGGGTTTTCCTTTGGACCCTAAACCCGAAACCCGAAACCCTAAACCCTAAACCCTAAACCCTAAACCCTAAACCCTAAACCCTAAACCCTAAACCCCTAACCCCTAAACCCAAAGAGCTGTCGTGGTAGCTACCAGGCCGACTCGCAAGGTGGAAGAGGGGCGCAGAAGCTGAGGCTTGCTATAAGGGTAGTTTCCTAAACTAGGGTCCCTTTTGGGTAACTATTACAAGGCGGCACCCTTTAAAAAGGGACCCCAAAAGGGACCCTAACTTAGAGAACTACCCATAAGTTTCGGGCTCGGCAAGTTTGGAGAGAAGAGTCAGGTAAGCGAAGCTTTCGCGCGCAGCAGGGAACGCTCGGCCACTAGGCACTAAAGCGCAACAGCCAGGGATGGGCTACTGGGCCCTAAAAATCCCCATAATCAACCCTCAAAGAAGGGCCTTTTTAGGGGCTATTAAGGGTATAATCAGCCCTCTAAAGGGCCTTATAGGGATAATCAACCCTCAAGCGGGCCTTTTTAGGGGCTTATAGGGATAATCAACCCTCTCAGGCCCTTAGGGGGGCTTATAGGGTATAAATCGCCCTAAGGAGTGCGATGTCAGAGTTGTGAGGATCTTGCGCGGCTTGCTGAGCGAGCCGACTTACCTGCAGAGGCGCGGAGGCCCCCATGGTTTAGGGTTTAGGGTTTCGGGTTTAGGGATCTACACAGATGCTCCGATGCTCGTCACGGGGCTTTGAAGCTGGCACCGTTTAACATCCCCAAAAAACCCAAACCCCCAAAAGCCCTCTGAGCAGGCGCGCTGGTTCGATTCTCACTGCCACCTGGTGACTCGGACCTGTCTTGGACTTCGGACCGGGGTCCGAAAGTTGCCTGAGTTGCAGACGAGCAAAGTGAAGTTTGCAGCCTGCCTTGGGATGGGTGAACAACGGCGCCTGTAGCCAGACATGAGAAACATTGTGACGAACGGAAAGTTCAAAGCCACCTAAACCCTAAACCCTGAACCCGAAACCCTAAACCCTAAACCCTAAACCCTAAACCCTAAATCCTAAATCCTAAACCCTAAATGGGGCCCGAGGAGAGCATCCTGCAGCGGACCTGGCGGGGCGGTGGGAAGCCTCAAGTGGCCAACAACGAGCCGGAGGCCGGGCCCACAACCTCAAAAAGAATCCTCCTAATCGTCATAGTCACAATAACAAGTAATAGTAATTTTAAGGGGCTGCGCCCATGGGCGGGCAGCGCAGGCAGAAGCGCGGGGCGAGCAGTTTCTAAGCATTTTGAGGCCCCTAAACTCCCTTAAAATCTCTAAGCGTTTGAGGCTCCTCAACCCCCTCAAAGTTTCCAAGCATTTTCAGGCCCCTAAACTCCCTTCAAATCTCTAAGCGTTTGAGGCTCCTAGACTCCCTTAAAGTTTCTAAGCACTTTATAAGGCCCCTAAACTCCCTTTTTCCTAGCCCCGGGCTTAGACACGTCGCTTATGCCCGCCCTTTGGGGGGCATCATGCTCCTGATGCGCCCCCGGGGTCCCGCCCCGGGAGCCGCTGATGCTCCTGATGCGCGCCTGGGGGTCCCGGGCTGGACCCGCTGATGCTCATGATGCGCGCCCTCTGGGGGCCTCCGTGGCGACGCAAAAAACCACGCAAAAAAAACCGTTCACCGGCGGCACGCGGGGGTCGGCGGCACTGGCGTCCGGCCTAATTCTGCTTCGCAGAAGGCCAGAGGCCAGCAAGGCTATTCCCGGGACGACCCGGGCTAAAAGGTCCGCATTTGCTCGGTCCTTTGGGGACCTCGCGCTGCTCGATTTAATGGCTACCGCCAGTGCCGCCGACCCCTCAACCTGATGCTCCGCGCAAACCGGACAAGAACAAGGATGGCAGGCCATCTTTCGACGAATTCGCAGAGGCAGGAGGAGAGTGAGCGGTCTACGGTTTAGGGTTTAGGGTTTCGGGTTTAGGGCCTGGTTTAGGGCTTAGGGTTTAGGGCTTAGGGTTGAGCGTTCAGGGTTTCAAGGGCATTAGGAGGGCTTAGTCGGTAGTGTGCTGAGAGGCCATCCGCGACCGGGGCAGGGGGGGGGGTATATGCACTTATATATACCGGGTCCGGTATATGCTGGACCGTGGTGTGCCTACACTTCCGGGTTCGATGAAAGCTCCGGACCGTGGTTTATACATAATTATACAGAACACTAATATACCGGGTCCACACTTCCGGGTTCGGTGAAAGCTCCGGACCGTGGCTTAAGCATATAGACATATACATAACACTTATATACCGGGTCCAGTAGATGCTGGACCGTGGTGTGCATACACTTCCGGGTCTTGTCCACTGGAGCCCCTTTAAAGTCAGTCAAGGGGGGGGGGGGTGGGTGGGGGGGGGGGGGGGGGGGTCTTTAAAGTCAGCATTGCAAAGGGGGGGGGTGGGTGGGGGTGGGGGGGGGGTGGGTGGGGGGGGGGGTGGGGGTGGGTGAGAGCAAGCGGGGGGGTGCTAGCTGGGGTGGGGGGGGGGGGGGGGGTGCGGGGGCAGCAGGGATGGGGGGGTGGGGGTGGCGGAGGGGTGGGGGGGGGGGGGGTGGGGGTGGAGAGCGGAGCAAGCGGAGCATGAGCCTTTAAGTAGTCTTTAAGTCACTATCACTGGGCGGGTCGGGGTGGGGCGGGGGGGGTGGGTGGGGTGGAACGGAGTGGGGGGGGGAGGTGAGCGGAGGGGGGGGGGGGGGGCGGGGCGGGGACGGGGGTGGCGGGGGGGGGGGGGGGGTTGGGGGGGGGGTGGGGGGGGGGTGGGGAGGGAAGGGGGTGGGGGAGCGGAGGGGGCGGAGCAAGCGGGCCCTTCAAAGTCAGTCTTGAAAGTCAGTCATGGGGGGTGGGGGGGGGGGTGGGGGGGGGGGGGGTGGGGTGGGGTGGGGCGCTGGGGTGGGGGGGTGTGGGGGGGGGTGGGGAGCGGAGGGGGCGGAGGAAGAGGGGGCGGGCATGCACTGGAGCCCTTTAAAGTCAGTCTTTAAAGTCAGTCATCTGATCGAGTGGGGAAGGGGTAGGGGAGGAGGATGGAGTGGAATGGTTGGAGGGTGGTTGGTGGTGGGAGGGTTAGGGGCGGGAAGGGCGGGGCACGGACTGGGGCCTTTTAAAATCAGCTTAAGGTGCGGGGTTACGCCGACGCCATGGAGTCTTCACTAGCGCCTCCCCCGCTCAAAGCTGGGGTCGGCGGATAACCATAGTAACAGTAAGAAATATACAATAATCGTAGTAGTAGTAATAGTAAGATGGATGTTTGGGCTTAAAGACCAGACTGAGGGAGATTCAGGGTCTCGAGTGCACCGATTCGAGGGGTGTGCGAACCTCTGGAGGTCACGTTGCCAGAGCTCGTGGCCCTCTGGCCACCGGGCCTTGATGGATGTGTGGCAAACTTCGTGTTCAGGAAGGAAAGCAGCTCGGCGAGACATTGCACAGCCCTTTTCAGGTGCGAGGTCTTGGACACCCGGTTGGGACCTGCCTTGATGAGCTGCTACAAAGGTGTGTCATTTGAGGTGTCATTTGGGCACATTGGTTTCGCTCCTCCATTTGTTAAAGCCGTACCGTCATCGTTGCTATTCGAATTTCACTTCACACTTTTGCTTCTCGCCAGGCAAGCCGGGCTTTACTCCTGAGTGGGAGTGGATAGCACGACACCTGTCCCATGGCCCCATAGCCCAGTCTGGAAAGATTTGGCGGGGGGATGGTCGCATTTGCAGGTGTTTGCTGGTTCAGAGTCATAGGAAGTCTAGGACGCCAGGGCGCTTAGGAGAACAGGAGAACAGGAGAACAGAGGGTTTGGGTCAGGCGAGGGTCTGAGGCAGCCAGGGCGCTCTGCGACGATGTGTCGCCGCACCGTGCATCGCGAGGTCTCACTTCGAGGAAGGCAGCCCCATCAGCAGTAAGCTGCTGAGCTGCAATTGGGGGTTTCCGAAATTAGGGGGTACCTTGCCTGGGGTCCTGATTATCAAGGGATCCTACCATTCGTATTCGGGGGGTCCATATTAGGGGTCCCTTATTCTCGCCCCCAATTAGACTTTCAAGGGATTAAGACTCGAACCCACAGGTTGTACCCCTATAAGAGGTTCCCCTTAATCTACTCCTCATATGGCCCTTGTACTCCCTTAAGGATCTCTAAAAAGCGGTTCCCAAAACCCAAGGGCAACCCTTAGAGACTTCACCTTCGTTCAGCAGTCTTCAAAATGTGGTAGCCACAGAGGGGACGGTGACGGTCAAAGCGATTACTATGGCCTGCGCAAACCCTAAACCCTAAACCCTAAACCCTAAACCCTAAACCCCAAACCCTAAACCCTAAACCCTAAAGCTTTTCCCCCCCTACTTCCCATCCCCCCCTCAAGCCCAACTCAAAATCCCAAGCCCGCACCCTAAGTTCCAAGCCGGACCTCCAAAAGGTTTTTTAACACAGCCCCAAGATTCCTGGAATCTGGGGCCCCCGGTTGAATACCTCTTCATGGCATGGCAAGCCATCCAAAAACCCCCAAGTCCCCCACATGCTTTCTCCAGCCTCCCCGGCGCAGGTTGTGGTTCACCATCGGCCGCCTGGGTTGAATCGGCGCTTTTCTTTTGCTTATGAGGAATGGCAGTCAGTGGCAGCACTCTAGCAAGCTAAGCCTTTGAACAAGCATGAGAAGCTTGTCTTCGCAACTTGCAGCCGTGAACAAGGTGGGCTGCCTTTGGGTTTCCAGTGTGTTCCTGTGACAATGCCTTTTCGTGACAATGCCTATCAGAATTTCGGAGGGTCTCGAGGGACCAACGAGTCAATTTCACAGGCTACGACATAGCCATCCATTCTCGGCCAGCAGTTTGGCGCGCAGCGCATTGGTCGGACTTGCGTATGATGTGGTCATAGGGCTGCTGACAGCCACTTCCAGAGGTGACTTTTAGTTCCCGCAGATCAAAGCACGCAGCAGGTTGGGATGGATGCCACAGGAAAGCCAACACTAGGGTGCCGACTTCGAAACATTCGAGAATATGGACTTGGACTGATCTCCTTGGATATTCACAACACGAGCAGAAGATGAACGTATGCACAGTAATGCGCACATACGCACGTATCAAGCTTCTGCAAACTCAGACATAGACTCGGCACAGACACGTACATTTTGTTGCTCGCAGAGGACTTCATCCGCACAATGCTGCGGGGTGGGACGCGGCTGCCGAGAAGAGTCTCGGATAGCAGGGCTTACCATGAAGATTGCCGCGGCGATTGCCGCGGGATCACCGAGAGAGCGAGAGAGCGAGAGAGGGAGAGAGGGAGAGAGGGAGAGAGGGAGGGAGAGAGGGAGAGAGGGAGAGAGGGAGAGAGGGAACGAGGGAGAGAGGACTCGGAACCAGTTAGCCTGTGCTGCTCGAGTTGTAGCTCGGAGCTCAAGGACCGTTCGCGATTTCGCCGCCCATCCGAAGTGCGTAGGCCTGGGCTTTGGGGTGCACGGGGGTAGGTTTAGGGTTTAGGGTTTAGGGTTTAGGGTTTAGGGTTTAGGGTTTAGGGTTTAGGGTTTAGGGTTTAGGGTTTAGGGTTTAGGGTTTAGGGTTTAGCGTTTAGGGTAAGCTGTGCTTTCCTTGTGACTGGACCTTTTACACACGCTTCCAGACTTCGCATCGTGTTTTTGTTGTGGGCTTCACACTGCATGCTGACCTCCGTGTGCCCAGAACTATGCTGGCCACTGCAACGTCGAATCTGTCCAGCGCCAACAGCAAAACGCTCTGCAGGAAACATGTCGGGCGGATCTTGGTGTCCGTCCAAAAGCAAGGCGTGCACGGCTGCTGCCTTGTGCCCGACCGTTTCAGCTGGCTGAGCAAAGTTGCACCGGACGCTTTCGATCGAAGCGTGGCTGTCGGGGGTGGAAGCAAGTCGAACGCTTGACTTGGAAAGACTAGTTTCGTTTGGAAGGAAAAGAAAGTTCCGTTTGTCCTTCTTGATTGAACATTGGAAAAGCCGACTTGATCTGGAGTTAACTGTTTTCAAAGCCCGCCCCTCAATCAAACTCAGACGCAGGCTCGCGGCGACTCGTTGCAAAACAATTAAATCTGGAATGAGTTTTTCAGCATTAAGTTCCTTTTCCGCTCTTTCAACAGCAGGCATTTTCTCATGCACCTGGAGGTGTTTTCGTTCCGGGATTTTTGTACTTCCTTTGCGACCTGGGCCCCCAGCTGCAAAAAAAGCCCAATCTTCGCTGCTTTCCCAGTGAGTACACAGCCTGATCCATCAGAAGAGTCGCGCGGGCCAGGCCTTGGTGAATGTGGCCTGGACTTCTTCAAGCACGACCCAAGCGAGGCAATTTTATCCAGACCCATTCTTGAGACCTCCTGAACATGTCTTCATGGTGCACGATGTTTTTGTTCAGCCCCTGAGGAGGAAGTCCAGCTGACGGCCTTCCGCGCCCAGGCCAAACTCGCGGTGGAACTGGGCAAGGCCAGCACAGAAGCAGAGGAAGGTGCCGAAAGCAGGAAGAGTGTTGATTCAGTGTTGATCACCCAACCCACAGCCGAGCCCCATTTCGCGTGTTGTTCATGTTTCTTCTGAGTGTGTGAGAAGGGACCTGCCTAAAGTCAGAATGATGCAACATAGCTTCATATGGGTAGTTTCTTCAATTAGGGTCCCTTTGTTGTACCCATTACAAGGCGTCACCCCTTCAAAAAGAGATTCCCAAAACGGGGCCCTAATTTAGGGACCCATATGTCCATGACCTGTCGGGATGCCTTTCCCAGACTTCCAGAGGCCCTCGTCGTGCATGCGCGCCTTGTGACGCGGGAGAATGAGATCCGCTTCTTGAGGGAGCTCAAACAGCCGCCAGCATTCGAGTCTGAGGGGTTGAAGGGTTGAAGGTTGTAGGGATCATGGGAGGGCATTAGCTGTAGGAGTTTACCTGATTGCTAGTATGAGTTCCGTGAACATCGGTGGTGAAGTGATGGTCTCAGCGGTTTTGTTTTGATGTGGCGTATGGGGTCGGAAATCAAAACATGAGTAGTCATCACATGACTGAATCTGCAGATACCCTCAGAGATTCGGATGGAAGTGTTAGACGCGCTGGCTCAGGCTTGTTCCCCAGAATCACCCGATCCACATACACTGCTTTGGAGACTCCTTGGAGCATGCGAAGGCCTGCATTTCCTGAATCTGATGACCTGTTGAAGCAAATTGCTTTGCAAGTGCTGTGCTCGCGGAAGGCATAGGCCGCATGCCAGATGCCCACCAAAGACAGGTACCGCGTAAGCTCGCCTTGCAACTACCTAGGTAGCTGTGCAGTGGGCATACATCTAATGATGCCGAGTCATGACCCAAAAACAAACCAAAGAATCCTCAACAGCTCAAGAGTGCAGCTTGCAGATGGGTTGCTCAACAAGGCGATTGTCTTGCATAGCATTCGTGGGCAAAGCTTGCAAAATGCGGTTTAGGCTGGAAATATCTTGAACATGTAGCAGCAAGTGACATGTCATGTGTACTTGCAGCATGACCCGTTGAATCTGCATCGGGCATACTAAGCACGACGCCATCGATCCTGCACGGTGATCTATCGCAATGGCAGTTGAGTTCATTCGATTCCGCCGCATCGGTGACAACGTGTGGTTCATGGGCTCGGCATATGACGCAGGAAACGCAATCGCTCGTCGCGGCGATGCCCCGACGCGTGCGGAGACAGACATCTACGTCGAGCTGCGCAACGGGACAGACGGACCTCAATTCTTCGCGGCCGTCGGGACTATCGCTGAGAGGGACGGGAGGCATTACAGGATTGATGTTCAGCGCCTGAACCCAATCTATTCCTGGGCCTACCAAGTTGGGAACGAGACTAAGGCACAGGTGAACAGCAACCTGGGCCTTGAGCATTTCGAGCCGCCCTTTGCGAAGCCGGAAATCCACAGTGGCTTGAATGGCAGCATGGGCAATGGCAACAATTGGTGGATCCCAGTTGCAATGGTGCCAGCTAAGAATTTCAAGTCCAAGACAGGCAAGAGCATCTTTGGGGAGCAGGAGGGAAAGCATGATAACCCTGGCACATTGAATCAACGGGGTATCCTCAAGGACAGAAACGGTGGCAGGGATACGTCGCACATCAAAACCATTCAGGACATCTTGGGCAAAGCCGGTAAGAAGGCAGCCAGCGATGAGGGCCGCTTCGATGAGAGCATCATGGCCGAGCTCGCCGCGTACATCGACGCTTCACTTGAAGAAGTGGATGTGTTGCCTGAGGAGGCCAGCAGCCGCAGCATGAGTGCGGCGGCAGCTGTTGCAGCTGCAGCTTAGGAAGCAGTCATTGGCTGCCAAAAAAACCGGTGGGGAAGGAATTACGGGGGGTTGTTGGCAATCAGGAGCCAATTTCACTTAAGGCTAGCTGGCCCCCGCCGTGATGAGGCGCACAACCAGGTCGCTGTTCTTTACATGTTTGCCCCTTGAGCTCTTTTGCAACCGAGCGTCAGCAACCCCACAGCTTCCATTTGTGGGGAATTAGTTCTGGGTCAGCTGAGCTGTGCCCGATTGCGCTCCGCAGGGCGGTCTTTGGTAGGACTCATTTTGCGCGCCAGCCTCAGAAGTAGGACTCCTCTGGTGCTGTTTTTTCCTCGCGCCGCCCTCAGAAGTAGGGAGGCCTTCATGTCCACACGATGTCCAGCTACTGCGGGACATTTTGCGTGTCGATGTGGTATGATCTCCTGCGGACGCATCATGACTTTTGAATCCATGAAAGGAAGCACTCGTAGTCACTTGCCTCCGCCAGAAAAGGTTAGACCCTTTGTTGGTACGCCAAAAATGGTAGAGTGCAGGGCTCTAGGCGTCTAGGATGCTTCACTAGGTATGGAATCATAGGTTCTCCATGGACAAGGACACCCAGACCCCCGGAGCCAACAATGGGAGCACGATTTAGAGAACACGTGGCGTGCCCATGCAGTAGGGTTCCAGTAGGATGGTGTGTTAATGTGGTGGCGCGCCATCTCACCCGACCCCCTGCCGTATACCTTGTGGAGTCCATGGCGAATAGGTGCCTGGAATCGTAATGTTCGGAAGACGTGTTCTGCATGGTTTAGGGTCCTAAATTAAGAGTCCAATTAAAACAATGTAAATACAATTGGCCTTTCCTGCATGGACTATCATACCCTATAACCCCTTAAAAGACCCTTTGTAAGGTTGGTTAGGGGGATTCTAAGGCCTACTAGCCCATGATGGTTGCGGAATCAGGAGCTGATTGTAGGGTCTTGCTCTAAACCCTAAAACCTAAACCTTAAACCCTAAACCCTAGACCCTAGACCCTAAACCCGAAACCCTAAACCCTAAACCCTAAACTGCCGAGAGCGCCGCTGTCAATTTACATGGGCGCTCGAGGCTTCGACCGAGGTCCCCGACCGAGGGTCTCCACAGAACAACGAGGGAGTCCCGGTAGACGGGGCCTGCAGTGCCTGGCTACGCCTCCGACACTAGGGCGTCCGCCTGAATACAATTCGGACCCCAAGCCCCACACCGTTCAGGTCATTTTGGTTTTTTTAGGGGAGTCGGGGTACCTTTCGGGGGGTCTGGGGCCCGATAGGGGACTTTCTGGGACCCTCTCAGCCTTCTGGTGGGACCCGTCTGGGAGCCCTAAAACCTCCCTGGAACCCCACAAAGAGTCTGGAGCCCAGATTAGGGCCTTGAGCCGTGAGACCCCCTGCACCTGGCTGGGACCTGGACCCCCACTATTGAAAACCTCCAAACCCTGAAGCCCCTGCTTCCCCCTACCGTTTTGCTCCCCTACGGCTGCATGAGCCCCGTAATGAAGATGTGGGCTTTTTAGTATTGCAATCGACGGTTTTGGGCACCCCTCCATTTTACTCCGTGAAAGCTCCAAAAAGCCTTCGAGCCACTGACAGGCTCCTAAACCCTAAGCCCTAAGCCCTAAGCCCTAAACCCTAAACCCTAAACCCTAAACCCCAAACCCCAAACCCTAAACCCTAAACCCTAAACCCTAAACCCTAAACCCTAAACCCTAAACCCGAAACCCTAAACCCTAAACCCTAAACCCTAAACCCGAACCTTGGCCCTTGTGGAATCAGGAGCTGATCGACCACTATCCCAGGCTCCGCATCGGTTTCACAGGGGCGATCACCTTCTCCGACCCGCCAGGCAGGGGAAGCCCAGCACAGCCTCGCATGGCACGTGGCCTTAGAGGGTTTAGGGTTTAGGGTTTAGGGTTTAGGGTTTAGGGTTTAGGGTTTAGGGTTTAGGGTTTAGGGTTTAGGGTTAACAACTTTTTGAAAAACTGGCTCTGGAATGCTCTGGAGGCTCCAAGGGCCGCCAGAAAGGCAGGGGCAAGCACAAAGGCAACGAGCTCAAGAAGGGCCAGGACTGAGTGAAGTTGAGGGCTATACATTGGGATGTTCCCCCATATACTAACAGTCCTGATTATGGACTGTAATAGGGGGTAGCTTCCGCTTACTGGCTGTTGGTACAGTCCAGTTGGACCATGTCGGCTGTTGTGGTACCGCTGCGCTCTTCATGCCGAGTGCCTTGTCAATCCTGTTTTTTTGGACCATGCGCTTTGGGCTGAAGTCCAAAGTTGACCTGAATCCAAGAGGAGCACTGTCGTGAGCTGATCCAATGCTTGCCACTAGAACGGCTACTGATCGACCCTCGGCCTGGACTTGCAGGAGGCTTGAGATGCTTTCAGAGGTACAGTGGCGGGCTGTGGAATCAAGCTTCTGTCGTTCATGCCTGGACATGTCAATGTTCTACCTGAGCGCTGAAATTGGTACACGTACGAGCTTCAGACCCCAGCCAAAAGTTGAAAGTCACTACTTCCCCGTCTTCACTCAATGGCCTTGCTGAAATTCATCCGGGATCCTGTCCTTACGAGCGAGCCGGAACATACTCGAAGCCTTTGTCCATAATCGCATGGCAACAGCCTCCTTCAACAGAAGATAGAAGATGAAGATGTCAGAGTTGGAATCTATAAGTCTTTGTTTGACCAAGTGAGGAGACGGACGGCCCTTACATGTGCCCGGAGCCCTTCCGCGGGCAGACAGCCTCCCGTCCGAAGCGCTCGTTCGAGTCCAGAGACTCACGGAGAGGATTCGGTGTTTTTGTTCAGGCGCTTCCCTCCAGATTTCTCCAGCCTCATCCAGTTTTTGCATGAATCCGGTACATTCCATTGGCGCACAATGTGGCAGACACGCCCAGCCCAGGCACATCCGGGCCATGTTCACCGAGTGGCTGAGCCCCGGATGATCACCATGATCAAAATGCCAGTGTCTTCGTAACTGTAATTGTTGTGTGTGTGTGTGTGTGTGTGTGTGTGTGTGTGTGTGTGTGTGTGTGTGTGCAGCGTTCTGGCGCGTTGGGTTGTGGCAGCTGTCACTTGTTCTTGGCGGTGTTTGCAACGCTTGCACTGCTTTCCTTCTTGTTTTCTGAGTTGTTTTGGGTTCTAAGGCCTGAGCTGGTTTTGTCTTTTTGGGCTTCGGTTTCTAAACTCGTGGGGCTCTTGAGCTCGTTGGCTCTTTGGGTTTCCAAGCTCCTTGGGCTCTTTCGTTGGTTCTCAACTGGGTTGAGGGTTTAGGGTGGGGGGGGGGTGGTGTGGTGGTGTGGTGGGGTGTTGGGGTGCTGGGGTGGTGGGGTGGTGGTGGGGTGTTGGAGGGGTGTTGGAGGGGGGCGCGTGCAGGGGGGGCGGGTGGGTGGGTGGGTGATTACGTGCCACTGCTAGAACTTGATTCTTCTCAACTCCACGAGATGAAGCAGCGGTTGCGTCTCGACGTGTATGTAGGGCAACCGGGTCGTGCTGTTGTGGTCAAAGCGCGCGGCGTTACGAATGGCTTGCATAGGCATGGACGAGATTCGTCATAAGAACCGTGTCAACCGCAGCACACGGGCATAAGGAGAGGATCGCCGAGTGGCAGAATGCAACTTGGCCTTGGAATGACTCTCAGCCTCAATTCCCCATGGCCCTAAACCCTAAACCCTAAACCCTAAAACCTAAACCCTAAAACCTAAACCCTAAACCCTAAACCCTAAACCCTGAACCCTGAACCCTGAACCCTGAACCCTAAACCCAACAAATGTTTTCTAATCCCCCAGGCCACCTTTAAGCTTCTTCGAAAAACCATGTGCCCTAAACCTTCAAAGCCCCTCAAGCCCTAAAGCCCCAAGCCGTACAAGGCTGTTAACCAGAATCTAACCTTTAAGCTGTCAGATGCCAAACAAGTAAGCGAAAAGTCACAACTAAGAGCACTACCATCCATAAAGCTGAGAGCTTAGACTCACACAGCATTATGGCGGCGCGAATGATGATGTGAGCGTTTGGGTGATCTGCATTTTGAAGCCGGCACAATGTGCTCTAGGAGCTACGCAGCACTTGGCCAACTGTGGCCCGCACCGTCAGGTAAGCTTGGGCGCGGTGATGGCTGCAACCTGGCAGAGCACGGTGGAGGTGTATGGCCTGACGCGGCTTTGACTCTTCTAGCGCCAGGCGCCCGGACGCGGGCTATCAAGTCTTGGCAGTGCCACACTTACACTTGTCTAACCTGATCAGGATAGGATGGTCGAGCAAGCTTCCTGCACACATCAACTTGTCTGGTTTCCGCAAGACAGATGACAAGACTCCAGGCCGCACGCAACGACTCCTTTCTGAAGCCAAGCGTGACGGCGTTCCAGAGGCGCTGGGGTCTCAGGCTTAGAGTCTCAGGGTTCACTGCCATGATCGTACAAGCTGGCACGATTCCGGACAGCAAAACTTGGCAGATGATGCCCAGTGGGCTGAGAGTACCGGGTCTACGGCAGGTTGCATGGCAGGTTGCGGGGCGCTTGTAGGCTAACTGCGGTAGCGAAACTCTACATATACTCAGCTGCTGGAGGAAATTGCTGCCCAGAAATCCTGCACCGAAGCAGAGGATGTATAGAGGGAGCAAGATGTTCAGTAATGTTTCAGTCTGTGTTAAGCAAACGTGCAGCAGGAGTCTCGGCACGCCACTACGAGAGCAAGGGCAACCCATGGGCAACAGCCTCGTGGCAGAAGCCTCGTGGCCTTGTCCAAAGTTCCAGCCGAGTCTGGGGAGTGCAGCTGGATCCGTCTGCTTCCGGAGGATGGTACTGAGATGTGCTGAGACATATGTTTCGCTGAGCGGGACGACATGAGCTCACGGCTAGAGCTCTTCAGTCACTTCAACCTGTGCCAAAAAAAAGAAGCCACTCTTCTTGTCTTCTTGGAGTTTTCGCGGTAGCTTTTGGAATCTCTGATCTCACACGTTGTGTTGAACGCGCAGGCAGACCCTGAGCTGGAGCTGCGTGAGAAGCTGGCTGTCGCCGAGGCGTGGCTTGCTATCCCCCAGCTTCCCAACCCTGTCCCTGCATCAGCCAATTGCTTGGGTCATCCGGTCGTGGTTTTGTAGAAGATGCTAGGGGCTTCAAAGCATTGTGCTGAGCCTCGTCGTGGATCCCTGCCTTCACTGAAATCTTTCACTCCTTGCCCAACTTCATGAGCTTGTAACCCTAAACCCTAAACGTAAACCCTAAACACTAAACCCTCCACCAGCAGGCTTCGAAGCATCACCAGAGGGGGGACTTGGGTATAGAAGCCGCCCCAGGCTACCCGAAGAGACGACGAGCAACGCTTTCTGCAAGTCAGCGCGGAGGCGACTAATAGTATTGTATCATAATCGCATAAGAATATCAATAATGTTAATAAAATCATTCATACTACCATTATTAAAATATTGCTAAGAGAGAAATGATACTAACAACATTTAATCTTTCTAACATGAATAATACTGAGCTCCCTGACCAGAAGCTGCTCGCGTAGAGGCCGCGGCCGTGCGGGAAGAGCTGGGAAGCTCCAAGCTGGAGATGACGCAGCTCTCGGCTCCTGCGGCCTGTGTTGGTCTCGGTGACAATATCGGTTTCGTAGCTGGAAGTCCCTTTCTCGTGATGTGTCGGTAGCCAGCATCAGAACGGGGTCCCAGCGTTCAACCTGAAGTTCTGCTCCCAATGGCAAGCACGTTGCCAGGAGAAGCTGCAGGCCGCCGAATCGGAGGTGCAGGTCGCCAGGGCTGCCGCCCAGGACAGGGTGCATGACATCATGCGCTCTCTGCGTGCCAGTGTCCTTGCAGGCTCTTACCGGAGATTTCTGAGTGCCAACACCAGCAATGGATCACGAGCGCGATGTAGCCCAGCTTCCTTTGTCTGGGGGGTGCCAGGACAGCAGCTCGGGCGCTAATGAGGCCACCTTGGCGATGGGCTGCCATTGGATGTGACAGTGGATGTGGATGTGTCTGTCCATGCGACTTGAACTTTCACAAGACATGCTTCGGTGCAAAAGCATTGATAAACATAGGACATTATAGGACATAGACCGGAGGCGCGACCTGGCACAACACATCGGGAACACGGTAGCGCGACCGCAGGCCACGCTGGAGCTTGAGCGTCTTCGCACAGCCCTCGCTGCGGAGGAGGCGGCGGGCAGAGAAGTCGGATGGAGTGTGTTCCATGCTTTGGTTCCTAGGTGGCGCACCGCGCCAGCTCACAGCACCAGGAAGAGCTCATTACCGAGGCTCGCGTGGCAGTAAAGGAGTCATTAAACTCTGTGGATTCGTGGCTCGTGACTCGTGGCTCACCTGCAACGCGAGACCCAAGACAACATCAGGCCCGCGAAGCCCAGGAGGAGCTGCGCACCAGCAAAGGCGACATGACAGAGCTGTCGGTGCCTGGGCTGCACTTCTCGCCACTCCTAGAGCATGGGCGCGCTTGCTAGAAGGAAATGCAGACTGATGCCAGGAACGCCTGAGAGCTGCCGAGGCATCAGCGCATGCCGCGGAGGCAGGAAGCAAGGGTGCTTGTCCATTGTACCAGAGGTTTCGAGGTGACTTGTTCACGGTTCTCGCGAGCGAACATAGTGGTATCATTGGGGTCTGCAGATGGCCAAGCGGCAAAACGGAAGCTGGATCTCATCAGCGTTTCCGCTTCACCAGGAGAAGTTGCAGGCCGTCGAATCGGAGTTGCGGGTAGCCAGGGCTGCCGTCCAGGACACGCTGCATGACATCATGTGCCATCCGTGTGCCAGTGTCCTTGCAGGTTCTTATCGGTTTCTGAGTGCAAACAGCAGCAATCGATCACGGAGGCGGTGTAGCTTCCTTTGCCTGGCCAGGACACCAGCTCGGGCGCCAACGAGGCTACTTCCGACTCGCTGGACTTGGCGATGGGTTGCCATTGGATGTAACAGTGGATGTGTCTGTTCATGTGACTTCGGAGCAAAAAAGCATTGATAAACATAGGAATCATGGGACATAATAGGACATCGCGGGACATAGGCCGGAGGCGCGACCTGGCACAACACATCGGGAACACGGTAGCGCGACCGCAGGCCACGCTGGAGCTTGAGCGTCTTCGCACAGCCCTCGCTGCGGAGGAGGCGGCGGGCAGAGAAGTCGGATGGAGTGTGTTCCATGCTTTGGTTCCTAGGTGGCGCACCGCGCCAGCTCACAGCACCAGGAAGAGCTCATTACCGAGGCTCGCGTGGCAGTAAAGGAGTCATTAAACTCTGTGGATTCGTGGCTCGTGACTCGTGGCTCACCTGCAACGCGAGACCCAAGAGCCAACATCAGGCCCGCGAAGCCCAGGAGGAGCTGCGCACCAGCAAAGGCGACATGACAGAGCTGTCGGTGCCTGGGCTGCACTTCTCGCCACTCCTAGAGCATGGGCGCGCTTGCTAGAAGGAAATGCAGACTGATGCCAGGAACGCCTGAGAGCTGCCGAGGCATCAGCGCATGCCGCGGAGGCAGGAAGCAAGGGTGCTTGTCCATTGTACCAGAGGTTTCGAGGTGACTTGTTCACGGTTCTCGCGAGCGAACGTAGTGGTATCATTGGGGTCTGCAGATGGCCAAGCGGCAAAACGGAAGCTGGATCTCATCAGCGTTTCCGCTTCACCAGGAGAAGTTGCAGGCCGTCGAATCGGAGCTGCGGGTAGCCAGGGCTGCCGTCCAGGACACGCTGCATGACATCATGTGCCATCCGTGTGCCAGTGTCCTTGCAGGTTCTTATCGGTTTCTGAGTGCAAACAGCAGCAATCGATCACGGAGGCGGTGTAGCTTCCTTTGCCTGGCCAGGACACCAGCTCGGGCGCCAACGAGGCTACTTCCGACACGCTGGACTTGGCGATGGGTTGCCATTGGATGTGACAGTGGATGTGTCTGTTCATGTGACTTCGGAGCAGAAAAGCATTGATAAACATAGGAAACATGGGACATCATAGGACGTCGAGGGACATAGGCCGGAGGCGCGACCTGGCACAACACATCGGGAACACGGTAGCGCGACCGCAGGCCACGCTGGAGCTTGAGCGTCTTCGCACAGCCCTCGCTGCGGAGGAGGCGGCGGGCAGAGAAGTCGGATGGAGTGTGTTCCATGCTTTGGTTCCTAGGTGGCGCACCGCGCCAGCTCACAGCACCAGGAAGAGCTCATTGCCGAGGCTCGCGTGGCACTCTGTGGTTTCGTGGCTCATGACTCGTGGCTCACCTGCAACGCGAGACCCAAGAGCCAACATCAGGCCCGCGAAGCCCAGGAGGAGCTGTGCACCAGCAAAGGCGACATGACAGAGCTGTCGGTGCCTGGGCTGCACGTGGTCGCCACTCCTAGAGTATGGGCTTTTGCTGGTGGTCGTCAGCTGGCGCTTAGAAGGAAATGCAGACTGATGCCAGGAACGCCTGAGAGCTGCCGAGGCATCAGCGCATGCCGCGGAGGCAGGAAGCAAGGGTACTTGTGCCAGAGGTTTCGAGCGACTTGTTCAGCGTTCTCGCGCACGAACGTAGTGTTATCATTGGAATATGCAGATGGCCAAGCGGCAAAACAAAAACTTCCGGATCTCATCGCAATTTCCGCTTCACGAGGAGAAGTTGCAGGCCGTCGAATCGGAGCTGCGGGTAGCCAGGGCTGCCGCCCAGGACACGCTGCATGACATCATGTGCCCTCGGTGTGCCAGTGTCCTTGCAGGTTCTTACCGGAGGTTTCTGAGTAGCAGCAATCGATCACCAACGCGGTGTAGCCCAGCTTCCTTTGCCTGGGGGTGCCAGGACAGCAGCTCGGGCGCCAATGAGGCCACCTTGGCGATGGGATGCCATTGGATGTGACAGTGGATGTGTCTGTTCATGCGACTTGAACATTTGAACGTCCATGAGGCATGCTTCGGTGCAAAAGCATTGATAAACATAGGACATCATAGAACATAGGCCGGAGGCGCGACCTGGCACAACACATCGGGAACACGGTGGCGCGACCGCAGGCCGCGCTGGAGCTTGAGCGTCTTCGCACCGCGCTCGCTGCGGAGGAGGCGGGGGGCAGAGAAGTCGGATGCAGTGGGTTCCATGCTTTGGTTCCTAGGTGGCGCACCGCGCCAGCTCACAGCACCAGGAAGAGCTCATTGCCGAGGCTCGTGTGGCACTCTGTGGATTCGTGGCTCATGACTCGTGGCTCACCTGCAACGCGAGACCCAAGAGCCAACATCAGGCCCGCGAAGCCCAGGAGGAGCTGCGCACCAGCAAAGGCGACATGACAGAGCTGTCGGTGCCTGGGCTGCACGTGGTCGCCACTCCTAGAGTATGGGCTTTTGCTGGTGGTCGTCAGCTGGCGCTTAGAAGGAAATGCAGACTGATGCCAGGAACGCCTGAGAGCTGCCGAGGCATCAGCGCATGCCGCGGAGGCAGGAAGCAAGGGTACTTGTGACAGAGGTTTCGAGCGACTTGTTCAGCGTTCTCGCGAGCGAACGTAGTGTTATCATTGGAATATGCAGATGGCCAAGCGGCAAAACAAAAACTTCCGGATCTGATCGCAATTTCCGCTTCAGCAGGAGAAGCGGCGGGCCGTCGAACAGCACCAACACAAGATGACACCAGCCCAAAGCAGACATCTCAAGAACGGCAGCAGCTCTCAGCATGTGATGCATTGTGGACATACATGTAGCTATGACTCTATGACGATGACATGACGAAAAAGCATGGGACATTAAAAGTGAGGAGGCCAAGGCAGTTTCAGCTCGAGCGGAGGGTCTCGATCCACCATCTTGTCCACGACATCATAGTCTCTTAACTGTGACATGAAGGCTCCACTGTCGGGGGTTGCAAGTTGACCGCGTACGACATACGGTTGTCACCTGAGCAGCTGAGTGTTGGACTCGCAGTTGCGCCACGAGGAAAGCCGGAGCTTTGGCGAAAGCGCCGAGGCCAGGTGAAGGGGGTGGGAGCTGACACAGAGAGGTTCAGGGGCGTCAGCAGTCAAGCTCGGCTTCGAAACGAGACCGATCATGAAATCCTCCCGGACCTAACGTAGACTTTGGACTCACCGAGTAGGACCCATTGCAAGAACATGGGTCCGCTTGTACTAACGGTCCTTAATAGGGATTATAGTGCCCCCTATGATAATCCCAATGAAGGACTGGTCGTATCAGGGGGGAAACATCCCAAAACCTGGGTGCTAGCTGCGAAGAGAGCCGGCCCAGGCGGGGGTGCCGCACGTAGCGCGGATGTCTCTAGAACCCCCAGAAAAGGGAAGGGTGCCACCCTAAACCCTAAACCCTAAACCCTAAACCCTAAACCCTAAACCCTAAACCCTAAACCCTAAACCCTAAACCCTAAACCCTAAACCCTAAACCCTAAACCCTAAACCCTAAACCCTAAACCCTAAACCCTAAACCCTCGAAAGTGTCGCGCGAGGACAGTGCCGAGCTGCGAGCATCAGAGGCTGCAGACCTGGAGGCCATCCGAGGGCCCCCAAAAAGATGCAAAAGGGGGTTAAATGAGCTTGTGTTGTGGGCTTAGTCAAGTTTATGGTTCAAGTTGTACGTTCGTAAGTTGAGCGGCGTTTTTTGACTTTTTTAAACATCTGCTGCGCAATAGCGCTTGCAGAAGCTGGGTAGGCTCCTTCGAGCTGGTACGGTATCTAACATGCTGTCAATTGCTGGATGTTTGGCAGAACCCTAAACCCGAAACCCGAAGCCCTAAACCCGAAACCCGAAACCCTAAACCCTAAACCCTGAACCCTGAACCCTGAACCCTAAAGACGTTTGCGGCGCAGTCCGGCGCATCCCCCAAGTCGCGTCCTCCACCACAAGACACTCAGTGGTTGAGGACGCGACTTGGGGGATGCGCCGGACTGCGCCGCAAACGTCTTTAGGGTTTAGGGTTTCGGGTTTAGGGTTTAGGGTTTAGAGTGAGCATCCCTGAGAAGTGCTGATGCGTCTTATCTCGGGTGCCTCGATCAATTGGCGTAATGCAGAGGCCTTGCACGTCGCGCTCACTGAAGAAGTGCTGAATTTGAATGCTGGGCCACTCTGATCATCAAAAGCACTTAGTTTTCACAACCCTAAATGTTCCGCTGGACATTCAGAGCGTTTTTCGGAATTTCAAACGAGATCAGTGTATGAGACTGCAAAAGTACGGAACGGTCGTGGGAAAATCATACATCGTCGCGCGGGAAAGCTCCTGATTTTCGGGATGAACCCAAAGAACCCTAAACTATAAGAACTCTAAACCCTAAACCCCAAACCCTGAACCCTAAACCCTAAACCCTAGACCCCCAAACCCTAAGAACCCTAAACCCAACAAGTTCCTTGCCAGGATCGGCTGCTGGCGGTCGAATCAGCGCTGCAGATTGCCACCGGCGTGGCTGCGCAGGCAATTGTGTCGCTGCCGGGACAGGCACTTCTCAACGGCTAACTATATCTCCCTTAATAATTATGTTTTTAATTTTGTATATATATATATATAACCCAAGAGTGTATTAAACATGTTTCATTTTTATTGAGGTTCTAAGGGGAGTATGGTTAAAACTTAAACCCTGTAAAAATGGAGTGGGTCATCTTGCTTCGCCCCACTCCCGTCTACCAGCATCTTTCCCAAGGCCTTTTCCTAGATGATCGCTGCATCTGAGAGTCTAAACCTTTTGTGTGGTAGAGGTTGTCGCATTCCAGTCCGTCTACTCCTGACTTAAGTTTTCACCAAGACCCACCTCCGGAAGCCGTTAGTGTTTAGGGTTTAGGGTTTAGGGTTCAGGGTTCAGGGTATTCCAAAGGCACGCTAGTAGAAGCGTCCAAAGGCCGAACGCCCTCTTGAAGTCAATCAGGCCCACTCAGTGGCCGCAATCCTCAAGCAAACAAAAACCATCAAAAACCCCAAAAGGTTTAGGGTTTAGGGTTTAGGGTTTGTGTTTTGGGTTTAGGGGGATACCCTGTATGTCACGGCAACCCCGTTTGCCTCTAGGACTCTGGGACCCCTGCGTTTTGCTCATGGGATCCTTGCGCATGCCAACTGAGCCGAACATTCTCTCGGCCATACTCAAAGGATTGGCATATGTTGACATCGGTCTCACCTGTACATATCCCTCTACATCTACCCTTTAAGGGATTCTATAGGGTACCTCATTCCCTCAATTCCCTACGAGCCAACAGTAAGCCAGCGTCTTGAGCGCTTTCGATGCTGAGCAGGAAGAGGAGCGGCGGACCTCCGCCGAGGCCCGGGCATCCTAGGGCTCTTAAGGCTCGGAATGATCCGAGGGCGGATTTTTTTGTTTCTGGTTTCCATGAACTTCGGCTGCGTGGAGTCAAAGTCTAGTGCTGGCTACTAGAGCCGGGTACTCTTCAGAACGTTCTAAGCACGGCGTTCGTCTGTGTACCGGTGCTACTTTCTCATTCATTGACAATCATTCGGGCTGGTGGAATGCACTGCCCGAAGATCCAGTAAGGCTCTGGATGGGCATTAGGGGGGTTTCGCAGGAATCCGATTCTACAGTGGCTATCCCTGGGCCAAGTTTGGAACAAGAGCAACAACCCCATGAGGTCAGCCCCGCAGGGGCTTGATGCTCTGAACCGCAGGCTGCCCCCTGGTTGAAGACATCAACTCAGTTGGGCACAAGACAATTTTTTTTTTTTATCAAGAACGCTGGCCTACAAAGGCACGAGTGACTGAGGCACTGTGCCTATCCATACAGCTATAGGCTCAAACGATAGTTGAAGCCTTTTGCCAGCCATTTGCCACCTCCCACGTGGCGAGTGTATGTGAGACCTCTCTGGCCCGTCCGACAAGACGCAAGAGGAGCTTCTGCATGAGAAGAAGAGGACTACACACGAAAGCTTGACCAGCTGGCAACTGAAGGCCTGATTCCATGGAGTACTCAAGACGAGCACGAGCCAAGCCAGGGGAAATAACTGGGCCAACCTGACCAACCTAACCAACCTGGCCAAGCTGGCTGGCAGAAGAGGAGAATAAATAGCGGGAGAACGCAATGGTAGGGTCCAAAGATGTACGAGCGCATCACTTAAGCACAATATTGAAAAAATTGTGGACTGCCCTTCTCCAGGGGTACTCTGCTGCGCAGCAGCTAAGTGGTTGTGGTCTGCGTTTCCTGCTGGGACGCGACCGCTGATGTGCGCTCTCCTTGTGGCAGCTTAGGGAAAGGCCTCGGACTGCCATGTGCAATCATGTGCATGCAGGTGAAGTTGCGCGAAGCACTTGCCATCGTCGAGGCCTGTCGACTCTGTGACCAGTTTGGCCCTGTCATCTCAAATCACCACTGTTGAGGCGACGAAGGCTGCCAGGGAGTCCGGTGAAAAGCACCAGGAGCAGTTGGCATCAGAGCTCCAGGGCTCCAAGCTGGAACTGGCCGAGTTGTCGGTGTGCTTGCCATGTTTCTGCATGGAGCCGCTTGTGGGACGTCTCGTCAGATGAGCGCAAGATTGTGCGCCAGGCTTCCCTTCAAGACGCCGAGTCTGCCCGGCAATCAGGTCCGGAGCACTCAGTGCGGGCCTTGGCAAGATCTGGAAGCAGCCGTGCGACATTTGTATAATGTGCAAAACGGAGTCAAGCTTGTTCCGCCCCCCCCCCCCCCCCCGCCCTAGTGTACAAAACGGAGTCAAGCTCCCATGGCTGCATGCTCAAGCCTACCACCAGACCCCTATGCGCAGGCTGAGCTTGAACGACTGCGTGAAGAGCTTGTGAGTGCAAAGGCACGGAGCACTTCACGAAGCCAGAAGCGTCTTGCATTTTCCCGATTTCTGACGACTTGCAGGCTGCCAGGGAGTCCGGTGAAAAGCACCAGGAGCAGTTGGCAACAGAGCTCCAGGGCTCCAAGCAGGAACTGGCCGAGTTGTCGGCGTGCTTGGCATGTTTTCGCATGGAGCCGCTCGTGTGACGTCTTGTCAGATGAGGACAGATTGTGCGCCAGGCTTCCCTTCAAGACGCCGAGTCTGCCCGGCAATCAGGTCCGGAGCACTCAGTGCGGGCCTTGGCAAGAAATGGAAGCAGCCGTGCGACGTTTGTATATAGTGTGCAGAAACGGAGTCAAGCTTGTGTTCCGCCCCCCCCTCCCCCCCCCTCCCCCCAAACCAGGACCCATGGCCCTTCCCCCTGAGGCACACCTCAGTGAGTTGGACAGGCTTGATGCGCAAGACGTGCAGGTGGGCCACAAGTGGCCTACATGCTCAAGCTTACCACCAGACCCCTATGCGCAGGCTGAGCTTGAACGACTGCGTGAAGAGCTTGTGAGTGCAAAGGCACGGAGCACTCCACGAAGCCAGAAGCGTCTTGCATTTTCCCGATTTCTGACGACTTGCAGGCTGCCAGGGAGCCCGGTGAAAAGCACCAGGAGCAGTTGGCAACAGAGCTCCAGGGCTCCAAGCGGGAACTGGCCGAGTTGTCGGTGTGCTTGACATGTTTTCGCATGGAACCGCTCGTGTGACGTCTTGTCAGATGAGGACAGATTGTGCGCCAGGCTTCCCTTCAAGACGCCGAGTCTGCCCGGCAATCAGGTCCGGAGCACTCAGTGCGGGCCTTGGCAAGAACTGGAAGCAGCCGTGCGACGTTTGTAGAGTGTGCAAAACGGAGTCAAGCTTGTTCCCCCCCCCCGCCTCCCCACCCATGGCCCTTCCCCCTGAGGCACACCTCAGTGAGTTGGACAGGCTTGATGCGCAAGACGTGCAGGTGGGCCGCACGTGTCCTACATGCTCAAGCTTACCACCAGACCCCTATGCGCAGGCTGAGCTTGAACGACTGCGTGAAGAGCTTGTGAGTGCAAAGGCACGGAGCACTCCACGAAGCCAGAAGCGTCTTGCATTTTCCCGATTTCTGACGACTTGCAGGCTGCCAGGGAGTCCGGTGAAAAGCACCAGGAGCAGTTGGCAACAGAGCTCCAGGGCTCCAAGCGGGAACTGGCCGAGTTGTCGGTGTGCTTGACATGTTTTCGCATGGAGCCGCTCGTGTGACGTCTTGTCAGATGAGGACAAGATTGTGCGCCAGGCTTCCCTTCAAGACGCCGAGTCTGCCCGGCAATCAGTCTCGGAGCGTGCCGTGGGGGGCCTTGGAGGAATGCTGCCGGTTCAATCGATGGGTTCTCTTCGGCTCAAAGCCCCGGATCTCCTCCGTCACCGGGTTTCCGCCGCCCAGGCCCACGAGTCCCATGTGGCCCATGAGGCCTCTGTCCAGGTCCGGGGGGAGGGGGGGGGGCTCTGGTGGTGGCTCGGTGACTCATCTGACTCATCTTTGAGTCGGCTTGAACGCGCGTTTAGCATGGCAGAGTTGTATGGTTGAATCAGGGTTGAATGATGAGTGCGTTTGAAATCCAAGTCTCTTGAGCCCTGAGGCCTTCTGCATGTCCAGTGCCATGAGGTGTCACAAGTTCGTGGGGTTTAGGGTTTAGGGTTTAGGGTTTAGGGTTGTTGAGGTGAGATCTTGTGAGCCCTTGCAACGCCTTGTAACAAAGCCAATCTAAACGTCCCAGGCCGAGCCGCTCTGAACCTTTCCCAAAGAGCCCAATACCCCTATTAATTAAGGATCATATTCCTTAAATCATAATAAGTATCCCTTTATAATTCCGTAATTAGGGAATACTCCTTAAATCATAATAAGGATCCCTTAATAGTTCCTTAATTCAGGGGTATTGGGCTCTCTGGGTTGCGGCGCCTTGTACCTTGGCTGAGCCTTGGAGGCAGCTCGGGACTTGGCGAGCTCTAAGTCGGAGCTGGCCGAGCTCACCGTCCTCGCCGCCATGTTTTGTCAGGGTTTTCTTTGTGTGCTTTGAAGGCTAGGACCAGCTTAGGGTCGGTCAGACTTCATGTCACATGTTTTTGCTTCAGACTTTGGCACAAGGACCATTGTCCTCTTAAGCCCAATCCTTCGATATTCCAATGAATCGCACATGGCGGTAGCACTGAAAGTGTCGCCAGGAGCGCTATGAAGACGTGGAGTATGCTTTGCAGATTGCAAGCGAGGCAGCAGCTGAGGACCTCCTGCGGTACACGGGGAAGCGCCCGACACAAGACTGATGCAGAGAGATTGAATCACAAGGAATATGGGTCACGTCAGGTTAAGTTTATCTGCAACTTCAACTCACCTGCCCTATTCTGCCATTACTTTCGCCCGAAGACACCGAGACGCTCTTCGAACGCGTCTAGCACGTCTAAAGCCCCTAAGCTCGGACTCGATGACCATCCGCGTAAGAGCAGAGAGGACTGCGGTACAGATGGACCCACGGGGGTTCGTGAGGCAAGGGGGGTGCTTTTGGTTTGCCGCCTTCGAAGCTGAACCCGCAAGTGTCAACCAAGTCTCGGTTAAGAGCCATGTGCGTGAGAGTACACATCACCAGAGCTTACACGTAGTCGCCAGCCCCCCCCCAAACGGGTTTAGGGTTTTGGGGTGTAGGGTTTAGGGTTTAGGTTTTAGGGTTTAGGGGGACTCGCAGTCCACAGCATAGCCGTTCGGTTGCCTTGTCGAGCCATAAGAAAGGCCCGCCGTCTTCGGGCAGAGTGTCGGGCGCTGCAGGCACCTAACAGCCCAGATCAGGTGATTCAGGTTGCGGCCAAAACTCTTAGGGTTTGGGGTTTAGGGTTTGGGGTTTAGGGTTTAGGGACGGAACTTCTATTGGAGTGAGTTTTTATGTGGATCAGGTGGCTCGCTGGCATTTTTCGATTTTTTTTGGGGGGCTCCATGGATCTTGTAAGGTTCAGTTAAGGAGCTGGTCTCGAAGTTTTCTACCCGTGTCAGCTGCTATTGTTTCTATTTTGCGCATTGCTGTGGCATGCCAATTGTGCCCTCAAGCTGCTGAACAATTTCGCGAGCGGGGAGTGGATGCACTCACAAGGCGATGCCTCAACCCAGGTTTTAGGGTTTAGGGTTTAGGGTTTGGGGTTTAGGATTTAGGGTTTAGGGCCTTGTTCTTGTTCTCACAGCCTCATGCCGGGCGATCTCACGCGCTGTCAGGCGGAGCTGGTGCAGGAGAAGGCGCGCGAAGGCGCACGGGGCTGTCGGGGCACGAGGAGGAATCCCAAAAATTTAGGGTTTAGGGTTTAGGGTTTAAATCAAAGGCTCCACCACAGTCTTTTTGAAAATAGTTCTTGCTTTATCATGTGCCAGGAGGCCCTGGCAGTACCCGGATGACTGCGGACTTTGGCGAAGGAATGCCTTTCAAGGCAGGACTGCGTTCTACTGTCGCTGCTGGAAAGGTACACTGTTCCCATCCGGAGTTTTCCGCGCAACAGATGCATGTTGATTGCTGCAGTTTCGCAGTAGGCTCGGTATCTAAGGCGATCAGCGGCCATTTGTGTGTTTCCATATGTTATGCCATCCGAGATGTATGAGTTTCTTCCGCACTTTGCCGTCTCGCGCTGGCAAATGTCTTGGGATCGAGGCGCAGATCACTCTTCGTGACTCACAAACCCTAAACCCTAAACCCTAAACCCTAAACCCTAAACCCTAAACCCTAAACAGTTTCTTCAGCACGAAGATGTTTCACACCTCTCCCACTCTACTGTGCCTGAGCTGAGCTCGCTAGCCCATGAGCCCCAGGCCCTTGCCCTAAACCCTAAACCCTAAACCCTAAACCCTAAACCCTAAACCCTAAACCCGAAACCCGAAACCCTAAACCCTAAACCCTAAACCCTAGACCCGAAACCCGAAACCATGAGCCCCAGGCCCTTGCCCACAGTCCATGGCCGGCCGAGATGTCCATCCAGGAGGAACCGGAGGATCGGGTGCGCTGTGGTCGCTCCTTTAGGGTTTTGGGTTTAGGGTTTAGGGTTTAGGGTTGTGTGAATTTCACCTCCTCGTATAGTAAACATATAATTAGCCTGAGCACTAGAATGTCACGGTTCGAAGGCGCCTTGAGCTATTGGCGATTGGTTTGGCAAGCGTTTAGGGTTTAGGGTTTGGGGTTTAGGGTTTAGGGTTTAGGGATCTCTGACCCTTTGTATCCCCAGACCAGGCCACGAAAGACGATGCCTTCTTCAGCCCATCCGAGGGCGGAGTGCCGCCGAGGGCTTGAGGGGATCTGAGTTGCAATCAGGTCAATGAGGGTTGGTTTTGCTTGAGCAATCACGGGGTTTGTATGCTCTGAATTTCAGAACCAGTGATCTCACGAAAGGCTTCCGCGATCTCCGCGCAATCCGGCACTGAACAGAATGCAACTTTTCCAGCAATCCTGAAGCACAACAGTTCAACAATGCACCTCTCCACCTGCACTGCATTGCACTGCATTTTAGCGTTCCTTCGGTTGATCTGCCACTGAAGCGGGCAAGCTGGGAAACTCTCCATGTTTTGATGCAGATTTGTTATAATATGTGGCCCCGTGTTCAATCATGTGGAAGGTCACAAGGCGGTTACCTCCAAGCTTTCAAGCATGTCCACAGGCTTTCGGACGGCTTCTGCTTAGGGAGGTGCTTCGCCGCCCGAGGTCTCTGCACGAAAGCCGTGACCGCGCCGTGTCCTTCGCCCCACCCACGCGGGCGCGGCGCTCGGCCAGTTCTCCAATGTTTCTTGGGATTTCTTGGGCTTCTTGCGGGTAGTGCGGGTATCCGACCTATGTGAACGGTGGGTTTAAAATTGCAAAAAAGGCCACATTGTGTACTACAGAATTAAACCCGCGCCTCGAAATCCTGAGTGGCCAGCGTGCCCATCAAAAGGTCAATGTTGCCAGTCAGCATCTTCTGTAAAGCTTGAAAGACGGGATGCTCGCAACAGAAACGCCCAAGCATGTCCTCCATTTAGTTGGACAGCATTTGTGGGCAAGGAAATCCTTACAACACCGAACTTGTGTATTGGAAGATGCTTTCTATTCTTTCTGACAAGTGAGTTTTTGTGTGGTGCGCAATCACAATTCCAGATCGAAGACTGACGATTTAGGGAGGATTCTTCACCCTTGCAGAGTGTTCGTACGCTAACAAAGTCAGCGCCAAGGTTTCCAGTACATAGCAGAGGTATGAGGTGGTCCCATGTGGTCCCCAAAAAGGCGGGTGAGTGCTAACTAGATGCTACAGTACAAAATCCCAAAGCTGCTGCGCTGTCTGCAGAAAACATGGCTCAAGAACATGGACTAATTCCCCAAACTGTGACATTGAGGTGTTCCAACGTGCAAGGTAAGAGGGGCTAGATCGCGTGCCCGCGCAGCGCAGGCGGCTCGCAGCATGCGATTTTCTCGAGGCCTGCTCGTCTTTTGGACGAACACAGCGCACTTCCCTAGACGCGGGTGTGGCCACGCTCGCCGTCCTCGAAGCTGTCACACTCTGCGTTCGCGAAATGCGATAGCGCCGTCGCTTTTGGATGTCTGGCCTTACATGGGCTCTGACTGTTTGGAGTCTACGCATGGCATAGCTGCTCAAAAACCGCTTAGGTTCAGACGATGCGGGGAGATGCAAGTGCTTCCGACAGGACAGATTTTGCTGTCGCTAAGGAGCACCTGAGTCTGACTCACATAACTTGACGTCCGCGGTTGAAGTGCCTGGCAGTGCGATGCGATTCTGACTGACTGCTGAGTGAACGCAGGAACCCCTTTGCAGACAGCTCCTCATCTGAAGAAACGGCGCATTCGCACGGTGAGGACCGTTTTTGTTGCCTTCAGCCCTCGCAGCCTGCGTGCTGTCAGCACTTTTGGCCCTTTAATCAATCGACTGCGTTAGCCTAAGGTTTTCAGATATTCACGCTGCCGATGATGCAGAGGGGAAAGTCATGTATCGGATTCCGCGCTCTTCGTCATGTGGCCGCCGAAGGCATCTAATCATCCGCTCGTGACCAGTTTGCGCATTTCGCAGAGGAGTCGCCTGTGATGATCGCGGGCCACATCCCCTCTGGAGGCACCGAGCTTCGGGAATAGGGGTCCTAGATCCCAGCTCATGGGAATGAAACCTCACAGACTACTGGCCAAGAAGCCCTGCAAACAACAGCACGTGGCAAGATATCACCGTTTGCCGCAACTGTGGGGAGCCAGTTGCGCGAAGCAAAAACCCTAAACCCTAAACCCTAAACCCTAAACCCTAAACCCTAAACCCTAAACCCTAAACCCCAAAGGGTCTGACGAAACAGAAGAATCCAAGAGTACGCTCCCCAACCCAGGCGGTTCCTTCGGCACGGCTCAGGGCGGCATCCTGCCTCGGCCTCCGAATTCAGTTAGGGTTTGGGGTTCAGGGTTTAGGGTTTAGGGTTTAGGGTTTAGGGTTTTCGAACTGCGAAAGTCTTGTGCACTTGTCACTTAGCATGCGCTCGGTATCTGGATGCATCTAATATCTGGGCTGCGCCCCCAGGCCGGCCCAGCTACAAAACTCTCCGCAGGACCTCTGCCGAGTGAAGCTGGCAAACGGCGTTTGAAGCAGCATGTCCTTGCACACATCACCACGATTCCTTGACCATTGAACGAGGAGAAGGCATCTCTGCTGCAAGAGCTGAGCAAGGAGGCCATATGAGCAAGCGCCAAAACCCCCAGCCGTTCAAGTAAGTAAGGGGTGGACACGAATGCCCAGAACTGTCAAGCGATGGGAACACCTGAAAAGCGAGACCCCTAAGTTGTTGAACCGTGGAGTGGGCTATAGCCTTGAAAGTCTCCGCAGACATCAACTGTGGACAACTGATGCGAAAACCCTGCACAGCTATAGGAACACTTGAAAAGCGACACCCCTCATGTTGCGTCCATCAGCGCCGCCAGCCGGTCTTGGCAGTCGCTCATATTATGTTGAACTTGGGGTGCAAGTAGGGGCCGCATCTGTAAACCTAGTGTAAGTCCGTTTTGTTTCTCATCACTGTGATCTGCGGATTCCATCAAGCCAACCGTCAGCCAACCTGCTCGCAGGTCTACGAGTTGCGGCAGGCGTTGCGCTCGGAAGAGGCCGCTTGTGCCAGGGCCCCTGGTGAAGATGAGTTCTCCACTTCGCTCTGGTTCAAGGGCCGTGCTCATTGTCATGTGGGAACTTCAGGCTATGACCAAGGCTGCAACATATAGATTTTGACACCAGTGCTGAAACTACGCCTCTGGGGCCTCTGGACGTGCGACCGAAGGTGGAAG